ATGGTTTTTATATTCACCTAGATGGGTTTTTTTCCTTAATAGGTAAGAAGATGCTTGTACCACTCACTGCTTCTCTCTACGTGCCTGGGACACTTGATGAAGCTGATAAGGTTTTAGTTGATATTGGCACTGGTTACTTCATCGAGGTATATACCAATTGTTAAGAATGAATTGTGAAATTGTGAATTGTTTGGTCTCGTTCCTGTATTAACTCAAGTGTTTATGCATTTTTTTTTGCTTGTTTGGTTAGAAAACAATGGATCAAGGAAAAGATTATTGCCAGAGGAAGATTAACTTGCTGAAATCGAACTTTGACCAACTTTATGAGGTACGTTTTTGGTGGAAGTATAGCCGAATTAGAGGTTTCACTCGCTTAGCAACTTTCAAATGCATGATTTGCTTTTAGAAGATCCTCAGTGTGACAAATACATGAAAATTGTTTGGAACTTCATACACCTTATAGAATATGCCTTAGAACTGACCCCATACAGAAGATAAACACAGTTCGGATTAGCATTTTTAAAAAATAAACAGAAAGGATTCCTGATTCTGGTTCAGTGAGTGATTCAATGTAAAAAGTGGTTGGGTGATGAAAGTTTAATGGGTGCTAAGGAGTGCATTTGATATAATCAGAAAGCTCTTTGGTCGGTTTTGTCATGCACGTTATCAAACACTCCCTAGAGCGGTACAGGCATACATGTTACACTAAGTAGAGTCTCCACTTCACTGCACATTTGAATCGCTGTTCCAGTATTTGTTACAAGTTCTGAGTATAGTTACGTATAAGTAGAATTCAATATTATGTTCTCTCCTTTGCATTTGCTTTGTCTTTCACATTTTCAATGAGTATTATTGACATCAATCTAGCATCAGTGCCAAATTGTTCCAATACCCTTTTATGCTTAGAGAACTTGCATTTGAAAACCTTATTTATTGCTATACCCTTACCTGAGATTTTAGTTTCAATTAATCTTCATCTAACTCAGGTCGCAGCGAAAAAGAAAATCGTGGCAGATGAAGCTGGGATGGTCTTGCAGGCCAAAGTTAAACAGTTACAAGCTGCAACCACGTCGTGAAATTCTTCTTCTCTAGCGCTTGTACTATTAACACCTACTTTGAGATAGCAGAATTTTTGTTTGATCAGTTTTGTTACGACTCTTATTATCTCAATTGGGTTATGTGTGCTAGAAGAGCTTCTGCTGTAATTCTAAGAACAAATGATAAAACTAGTTTACTATGAGGAACAAAATGTTACCAGTTACTTATTTCTCATAAAACGAGAGGAAAGAGACAAAAGCCCTGTGCTATTGTTGGGAAGAACGAAACAGCTGAATCAATGAAATTTAAATACAACTTTTTTGTTGATTAAAAACAGGAATCTCTTCCTCTGCGTATTGTTCTTTATGATTTATCATCTGTGATCAGCACCAATTGCTTCTTGGATCGACTTGAAGCCATCCCTTTCTAGGCAACTCACCAGTTCTTCCTATTGGAACAAAAAGACATGAATATTAGTATCAATGAAGACCAACCTCAATATGCAGAGTTGAATATGCTTACAACATAGAGACTTATTTTTGAGTTTTGATACCAAATGTTTGGTAATAATAAGTGTCTAAACTCTGTGAAAGTAAGTTTTTAGACTTTCTCTATGCTTATTAAAACGTCCCTGGTCGAGGAAAAGGCCCGTCTTTATGGGAAAGAAGATACCTTTATTTGTGGGATGAGAGCGGGTCCTCCATAGGCAAAACCTGTGTACAGCTGAACAAGAGTTGCTCCGGCTCTTATTTTCTTGTATGCATCCTCACCACTGAAAACACCAAGATTCATTTGAATCAACTATTCGTGTTTCGTATTTCTCAAAGTCTAAAACAGATGCGATATGTTCAAAGACGTTTACCTGCTAACACCGCCACAACCTATCAGTGGAATCTTTCCCTAAGTAAACGATCAAGGAAAAAAACCAAAACCCGAATCAGAAATGTTTATTTCCTCGGTAGATAGTTGGGTAAAAGAAAGTACACTTACTCGTGTCAAAGTGTACATTTCTCTCAACATGTTGGTGGAGAGAGGAAAGAGCGGTTTCCCGCTCAAACCACCTGTTTCTTTTGCCACGGGGTTGTTGCTTACAGGGTCTGGCCTCGAGACTGTTGTATTTGATATAATCTATAGGAGAAACACAGACAGTATCATCATCAATGGAACTTTATGGGTTGCAAACATACCATGACAAACAATAGAAAAAAACAAAGACTTTTCAAACACTTTGGCCGCTTTTTCTACACTACGTTAAACAGATTGGAGGCTTAAATGTAAAAAAAAAAAGTTAATTCAGGAGAAAGATAACTTACCAGCCCATCCAAGCGGAGAGCAAGAGCAACCTACACAAATCAATACAATGTTGTAAGAGCCATTTACCTCGGAAGTATATACGGGTTTTGTTTTTTAGTACAACGTACCGCTGCAATATCTTCAAGCTCTCCTCTGGACAGATCAGGAGCAATCTTCACAAGAAGAGGAGGTGGACCTTCATCACCCCATTGCATTTCATCCCGAGCAGCTTGAACCTTTTTTACAAGGTCCTTCAACTGTTTCCTTCCCTGAAGCATACGCAGCCCTGCCGTATTGGGTGATGAAACATTGATTACCTATAGAGAAAAATGAAATTTAGGAACAGAGAATTATATGGCAGATTAGATCAAATAAAAGCTCGATATATCACAATAAGAAGTTTGTACCAAGTAATCAGCATATTGGGATAAGTTATGAACTCCTTGGACATAGTCAGCAGCAGCATCTTCACTTGTCTTGTTCTTTCCAAGGTTGACCCCAAGAATACCAGGTCCTGATTTGCCACCCGGTTTTACTTCTTCGTTTGGAGATGACGAAGTGGCTGATGTTTCCGCCAACATTCTTTTACCATGTTGAGCACCCAACCGCTTTGCAACGACAACAATCCCTTCGCTGTTAAATCCACACCTATTGATAATGGCTCTGGAAAGACATAGATTATGAGTATTTTAGTTGAAACTTTTGATTATTCGATCATTAAACGTATTTTACTACCAATGTAGACAAGAAAGGACTTGAGATTCTCACCCTTCTTGGGGTAATCTGAAAATGCGTGGTTTCGGGTTGCCTTCTTGTGGAACAGGAGTTACAGAGCCTACCTCAACAAAGCCAAATCCAAGTCCTAGCAATCCCTCGGTAGCCTCAGCGTTTTTGTCAAATCCAGCAGCAAGCCCAATTGGGTTTGAGAATTTCCTTCCCCAAACTTCAAGTCCTAAGATTTGTGGATCAGGCCTCTTTTCTCTAGGCACCCACCCGCGAGAAGCAGCCGTAACAGCCAGCTTATGCGCAAACTCAGCATCCAGAAGAGCAAATAAAGGATTAACAACCTTTGTTGCAGAGAATAGCCACCCACTGTCCAACACAGAAAATGAGCCTTAGCAATGTTAAACTAACAAAGAGAACAAAAGACAAATATATGTAATGTTTCCGGGCACTCATGAAGTAAGTAAGTACCAGAAGGTTGCTTCATCTGTAGTACTCACATAAGCTCCTCCAGCTATGGCCATACCAATGGTAGCTCCTGTAAATATCCTTCCCTAAAAAAGTCAAAGACAAGGCAAAGCTAAACACTTGAGACATGTGCAAAAAATGATCTAACTCTACTAAACCAGATATAAGCATTGATCGAAATAAGAACCGAATGTAATGTAATCGGAACTCTTCTATATAGCTTCACCTCAACGAAATCCCCAAAGATTCCAATATGAGAGAGATTCGCTTCTGGTAAACCGCAAAAGGAGATTAATTTATCAAAGAAATGCATCAAAGCTGCTTACTTTCTTGGAAAAATGAGGGACTTTAGGTGCAGAGGAAGCTCCAGGACCTGAAGAACAGTTTCGGATCGCTCCAAGAGGATTCGACGAGACCTTCCTGAACAAAAACTCTCTCGCCCATTTAGCCGCCGACGTCGCAGCCCTTGCGGCCATTAAAATGAAACAGTAGAAGCAAATGGAATTCGAAAAAGGGTTTCTTTGATAATCTCTCCGATTGCTTTTTGAAGAGGGTTTTAGGCTTTTAGCTCACCGCTTGACAAAAGAAATACGCTTTTGTTGGTCGGTTTCAATGGATCGTCGAGTATTTGCTAAAACCCTTGTTTTGTTGCAGTACATTCTTCCTTCAGGTTGATCTTTCCGGTTCGATTTACCGGTTCAATTTAGTTAACCGGAGAGAAATCTTTAAGGTTTTTGGTTTTATAGACACTAACCGGATCGAGCAAATAGATTGATAAGGCCCTTTTCTCTGAAATAAGCGAGCCCAAGAGTGAAGCAAAACTCTGTCTTTCTTCAATCTTCCATAGCCGTAGTTCGAAGCAGAAGCAGAGAGATTTTGGCGACGAGAGGGGGAGGAACAAATGAGTTCTTGTGTTGTGACGACAAGCTGTTTCTGTACTATTTCAGATTCTAGTTTACGTCTGAAATCCTCCAAGCTTGTCCATCTGGTTCGATTCTGGTTTCCTTATGCGACATTGAAATGAAAATCCCTCTGTGGTTTTGTTTCTCATGAATCTGTCTCTTTCAATCGCTAAAGCTTTCAAATTTCGTTCCTTTTTGGTTTTTGTTTTAGAGTAATCAGCAGAGAAGACGCTCTCTTGGTTCTCGAGGTGGTTTAAAAGTTGAAGCATACTATGGTCTAAAGACACCTCCTTATCCACTTGTAAGTGCAAAAAATTAAGCCAGAGGCGATTAATTTCGTAGTGTTCTGGTAGTGAAATGCTTTTAAATTGTGGAAAGTTGGTTAATTTGGGTGAAATGTATGGTGGTTTTAGTGCAAAATTGAATCTTGGTCTATGTATCCTCTCTCTTGCAAGTATGTGGGACTTGATCTTAGGGACTTTGATGTTCTAATCAGAGTTAGAAAACAAAAAATGTGAATAGGATGCTTTGGAACCGTATATGAGTCGAAGAACACTAGAAGTGCATTGGGGTAAACACCATAGAGGTTATGTGGACAATCTGAATAAACAGTTAGGGAAAGATGATAGACTCTATGGATACACCATGGAAGAGCTTATCAAGGCGACATACAATAATGGGAATCCTTTGCCTGAGTTCAACAACGCTGCGCAGGTACTTGTATTTACTTTCTATGCTGTTTGTATATCACCCGAGGCACGAGCTAATGTTGGGAAGATTGTTGTTTAAGGTCTATAACCATGATTTCTTCTGGGAGTCGATGCAACCTGGTGGTGGAGACATGCCTCAAAAGGGTGTTCTTGAGCAGATTGAGAAGGATTTCAGTTCCTTCACAAATTTCAGAGAAAAATTCACTAATTCAGCTCTTACTCAGTTTGGTTCCGGCTGGGTCTGGCTTGTCTGTAAGAATCTCTATAAGCTCTTCACTTGTATTAATAAACCGGAAACTATAGAATGACTCTGAGAGCAGAAAATCTTGATTCTCTTTTTGTTTTTTTGGAATTCTAGTGAAGAGGGAAGAGAGAAGACTTGAAGTGGTCAAAACCTCAAACGCGATTAACCCACTCGTGTGGGACGATATTGTATGTTAAGTGTATCATTAGTTTTCTTGTTAAATTTGATGTTTCCTCTTGATCACATCTCTTTTTGTTGTTACAGCCAATCATCAGCTTGGATGTGTGGGAGGTAAATCATCTCCTCTCTCCCCTTATACTCTCAACAAACACTCTGAAAAACAAAAATAAATCGTCTAATTTCTTTCGTTTTCTTTATCTTATTTTGCAGCACGCTTATTATCTCGACTACAAGGTAACTAGCTTCAAATTCGACCATTCTTTGTTCTTTTTGTTCCTTCAAAAGGCTAATGATTTTTTTTTTTGTTTTCGGGTGCTAGAACGACAGGGCTAAGTACATAAACATGTTCCTGAACCATTTGGTGTCGTGGAACGCTGCCATGAGTCGAATGGCTCGCGCAGAGGCGTTTGTGAATCTTGGCGAACCCAACATTCCAATTGCTTAAGCTAAAACTGTTTTTTTTAGAGTCCATGTGAAAGCACAAGAACTTCTTAAAATCTTATAGGCAGACTCATTTTTGCAACAGAGGTCCAACCAACAAAACAAGAGTTTCTCATGTGACCGATCTTTTTGTTCTATTGTAATTCAGCGACAGTTTTCTCCTTTTTTTCGCCTTTGTGATCTAATATGCCATAAAAATACTTGGCTAGTGTTATTTTCCTAAATAACCAAGTTAAAAGTGTTTTACATTACAATTGCTCTTTGTTTTAATGGTTCATGGTTTTAAATAAAAAGTGAACCAACTTTTTTTCCCAATAATTAACCTTTTAATAAATGATTAATTTCCCAAGAATCGTTCAATTTTTCCTCATTAATATATGATATGTGTAGATATGTTAACTAATTTAAGCTTCACAATTCTTAAAAAGAAGTCTTTTTTACAAGAATGGCTAATTTACCATTAAAATACCACATCTCCAATATAAATAAGACTGAACCATTTTGATGACCATAAGTTATCAAACTCATCCTTTTCTTTTCTTTGTTTTTGATCTCTCGCTCTTAGTAACAAAAAGATTCACATAAGAATGAAGAATGCTATAAAGCTCTTCTTATTCTTTGTATCCTTGGCTCTCCTTTCTGGTAATAGTTTATCTATTCATTCAATACAAATACTCAAAGTCTAAAAACCCTTATTTTTGAAATTAATCGACCGAAAAATCTCTATACTATCGTAATAGCAATGAACTTACTTTAACTTAATGGTATTTGTAGAAATGATATTTTCAAATATTGGAATGGTGGAAAGTCGAAGTTTGTTGCAGAAAGAGATTATCTCGCATGGAGAAGCCGCCTCTCCAAATGTTGTGCATCCACAAGAGTTTCCATGTGCAGACGGATGCATATACACATGCAAAAGATTTATAATTATAACAGGATGTGAATGCATATGTTAAATTTCTCTATCAAGCCTAATATATCATATGTCTTAATATATCATTCGACAAAATAAAATAAAGAATTATAATTATGTATGTATTAGTAAATCAAATGGAGAAAGTTTGGTGAAAAACTTGACGGATTGGTATAGGTTATGGTTGCATGATGAAACAACAAAGTTTTAGATACAACAATGTACATAAAGTCGTAAAAGATTTGGGATTATACCAAACCCTCTATATGAAAGAGAAGGTTTTGACGTGGGTATGAAATTTAACCACAGGGGTTAATTGTTTAAGCGACATCTGTCACCCGGTGAAGCTCTTTAGCTCCGTCCGGCGAAGAGAAAGTTTGGTTTTTTCTTGGTGGGTTTGGGAACTTGAGTCGGCGACCATGTCGTGCGGAGGCTCTCGCGCCTCCGTGCATTTGTGGGACCACCATCATCCTCCTTCGCTCGMGTTAGGGTTCTTAGGTGCTAAGGTTTATCAGCAATCTTCATTTGTGCTTAGACTTTCTTCGGCTAGATTGCAGCAGCACATCAAGTCTTCGTCTAGGTCTCACTGCAAAACTCCAGGACAAAACCCAGTTCCTCAAGATTGTTTCAGGTTTCTAAATCTCGCTGTTGTTTTGCTTGTTTATGTATTTTTCCCCAAATTCGAAGTTGGAATCTGACGGTTTGGTTAGTGTTATTTCCTGATGAGCTTTCACTTAAGTTTACTGAGAATTATGTGTTCTTGGATTAAATGACTAATTCGATGAACAAAAAGATTGATGTGTTAAAAACTTAAAATGTTCTTCACTATGTGTCTATGTTCCACTCAAATGTTCAAAATTGGAGTCTTTTGCTAAATTATGTGTCCGTGTTTCTTCTTCCGAAGCCAGGGAGAAGATGATTCTGAGCTTCAAGTTGAAGGGCTTTCCCCAGTTTCAGGTATTCGTTTGCTTGTCTATTCATTTTTTATTCAAGTTTCAACTGCTTCACCATCAATAGCCATCATGTAGTGTCCTCTCTGACTCTAGGAAAGAGCCTTTTTAGAGAGATTGGGCTGAAGATTTAAGTATTATCGCCGTCTTTATGCATTCTGTTTTGAATTTTCAGGAGGCATTGTTGCTCTAGGGAAGTTTGATGCCCTGCATATCGGTCATCGAGAGCTTGCCATTCAAGCTGCAAGAGTTGGTACTCCATATCTATTGTCTTTTGTTGGAATGGCTCAAGTACTCGGTTGGAAACCTAGGTAACATGTCCTCCCTTCCACCTTTCCAATTAACCTAACATCCCATCGATCGAAGTTAGTTAATTTCATTAGACCGTCACTCTACTGGTCTTCTCTGCTGATTAAGTTCGGTATTTTATCTGTATTTGCACTTTTGTAATGGAACTAATGAACAGGGCACCGATCGTAGCCAAATGTGATAGAAAACGGGTGCTTTCCTCTTGGTCATCGCATTGTGGGAACATAGCACCAGTAGAGTTTGAGATAGACTTTGCCAGCGTTCGACATCTTAATCCACAACAGTTTGTGGAGAAATTGGCAAGAGAGCTCAGAGTCTGCGGAGTTGTGGCAGGTGAATTCCGTAAATTTCTCAAAAAACCCGCTCCTTTCTCGAAACTCTGACAATTCTCAATCCAAAAACCGATTTTTTTTTCCGTCTTTTCACAGGTGAAAATTACCGGTTTGGATATAGAGCTTCTGGTGACGCCTCTGAGCTTGTAAGCTTATGCGAAGAGTACGGTATCAGCGCTTACATCATTAAGTCGGTGATGGATAAGAATCAAGTCTGTGGAATTGCAGAGACAGAGGAGTACTCAAAGTTGAAGGAAAGAGGACAAGTCTCGTCCACGCGAGTACGCCATGCTCTTGCTGCAGGAGATGTGAGGTATGTAACAGAGCTTCTAGGCAGACCACACAGACTCATCTCAAGGGCGAGAGCTCAAGATATAACAAGCAAAGGTATGATCTCGCTTCAGGCATCGTCGCTGCTGAATTTACCACCCGGAAATGGAGTTTACGAAGAATGTTCGCTTATATTTGGTGATGATGAGGAGCATCCAATTTCGTGTAAAGTTGTTGTGGATACATGGAATCTCCATATAGAAACAGGGCAAGTAGAACAACGTCTCTGTAACTCAAATGGGTCTCAAGAGTTATTGCTCTTAGGGATCGAGTTCGGTTGATTCACACAATTGATGATCCATTTTAAGATTGAATAACAGAAATAGTAACGGTAACAAATTTGGTGTTCATTTGACAAAAGATTTAACTTTGACGCCAAATACTAGTCTTTTTGGCATAAAGTTTCGAATTTGGAAAAAGTTTTGATTTTTAAGGATAAAGAGAGACTTTTTCGTTTATTATTAAAAATTAGTGTTAAAATGTCTGTCAAAGCCACCGTGAAGAGAGGGTGGAAGAAGAAGACAAGCAAGCTAGATGTTCTGTCTTCATCACAAAGCCGTTGACTTTCGTTTGTTGAGTGTCTCTTACTGACGAAACATTAAACAAACCGCCATTAGAAGTGCTCAATGATAAGACGCATTTCCTTGTACCCAAAATGTTTGAAATCCCTGAATTGCCCATCCACCGAACATGAAACGATTTCAGACAACGAGGATTGTTGTGTCATTTTCTCAAAATCTTTGTTGCTTTCCTTGTACCACACGATCCTTAAGGCTCTCATCTAATAATAATGACTCCATAAATCGACC